TGTGTAGTATGGCGGTGAATACATCAGTGCCATCATTGGCGCTGATGGCCCCTTTAAGGCTGAACTGAAATACTGGCATTCAAATGTATTCCTCCATAGACACAAAGGATATAAATCCACTGTGGACAGGGTGAGGGACAAGGTGAGGGACAAGTGATGAGACAGGGTGAGGGACAGGGTGCGGGACAGGGTGAGGGACAGGGTGAGGGACAGGGTGAGGGACAGGGTGAGGGACAGGGTGAGGGACAGGGTGCGGGACAAGTGAGGGACATGATGAGACAGGGTGCGGGACAGGTGATGAGACAGGGTGCGGGACAGGTGAGGGACAGGGTGAGGGACAGGGGGAGGGACAGGGGGAGGGACAGGGTGAGGGACAGGGTGCGGGACAGGGTGCGGGACAAGTGAGGGACAGGGGGAGGGACAGGGGGAGGGACAGGGTGAGGGACAGGGTGCGGGACAGGGTGCGGGACAAGTGAGGGACAGGGGGAGGGACAGGGGGAGGGACAGGGTGAGGGACAGGGTGCGGGACAGGGTGCGGGACAAGTGAGGGACAGGGGGAGGGACAGGGGGAGGGACAGGGTGAGGGACAGGGTGCGGGACAGGGTGCGGGACAAGTGAGGGACAGGGGGAGGGACAGGGGGAGGGACAGGGTGAGGGACAGGGTGCGGGACAGGGTGCGGGACAAGTGAGGGACAGGGGGAGGGACAGGGGGAGGGACAGGGTGAGGGACAGGGTGCGGGACAGGGTGCGGGACAAGTGAGGGACAGGGGGAGGGACAGGGGGAGGGACAGGGTGAGGGACAGGGTGCGGGACAGGGTGCGGGACAAGTGAGGGACAGGGGGAGGGACAGGGGGAGGGACAGGGTGAGGGACAGGGTGCGGGACAGGGTGCGGGACAAGTGAGGGACAGGGGGAGGGACAGGGGGAGGGACAGGGTGAGGGACAGGGTGCGGGACAGGGTGCGGGACAAGTGAGGGACAGGGGGAGGGACAGGGGGAGGGACAGGGTGAGGGACAGGGTGCGGGACAGGGTGCGGGACAAGTGAGGGACAGGGGGAGGGACAGGGGGAGGGACAGGGTGAGGGACAGGGTGCGGGACAGGGTGCGGGACAAGTGAGGGACAGGGGGAGGGACAGGGGGAGGGACAGGGTGAGGGACAGGGTGCGGGACAGGGTGAGGGACGAGGGGTAGGCAGAACAGACAGCTGCCTGGGGCACTTCAGTAGAAGGGGACACAAAATGGGCATAAGCTGTAACCTGTGCTGCTGAAGTATCTCGCATCTCATGGAGGGGGGGGCACTTTGGTCCTTTAATTGTGGGTGTTATAGAACCCTTTCCCAACTGTGGATGTCTGTAGTTGGAGAAGCTCTCCTGGAATGTGGAGGCTGAATTCCGGCACAGATGAATTATTGGACGTATACGAAGCTTCTCTGTGCATAGCGTGTCGCTGGATTACACGGGAGGAATGTCACGGATCTGTCACTGCATACAGATTGGGGTGGAGCAGGCTCTGCAGCCCCTCCTCCCTCCAGGAAT